ACTCACTCACTCACTCACTCACTCACTCACTCACTCACTCACTCACTCACTTACTTACTCACTTATTTACTCACTTACTTACTCACTCACTCACTTACTCACTTATTCACTTACTCACTCACTTACTCACTCACTCACTTACTTACTCAGTCACTTACTCACTTACTCACTTACTCACTTATTCACTCACTCACTCACTCACTCACTTACTCACTTATTTACTCACTCACTTACTCACTCACTTACTTACTTACTCACTCACTTACTCACTCACTCACTCACTCACTTACTCACTTACTTACTCACTCACTCACTTACTCACTCACTTACTCACTCACTCACTTACTTACTCAGTCACTTACTCACTTACTCACTTACTCACTTATTCACTCACTCACTCACTCACTCACTTACTCACTTATTTACTCACTCACTTACTCACTCACTTACTTACTTACTCACTCACTTACTCACTTATTTACTCACTCACTTATTCACTTACTCACTTATTCACTTACTCACTCACTCACTTACTCACTTATTCACTTATTTACTCACTCACTTACTCACTCACTTACTTACTTACTCACTCACTTACTCACTTATTTACTCACTCACTTATTCACTTACTCACTTATTCACTTACTCACTCACTCACTTACTCACTTATTCACTTACTCACTCACTCACTTACTCATTTATTCACTTACTCACTTACTCACTTACTCACTTACTCACTCACTCACTTACTCACTTACTCACTTACTCACTCACTCACTTACTCACTTACTCACTTACTCACTCACTTACTTACTCACTTACTTACTTATTCACTTACTCACTTAACTTACTCACTCACTTACTTACTCACTTAATTTACTCACTCACTTACTCACTTAACTTACTCACTCACTCACTCACTCACTCACTCACTCACTCACTCACTCACTCACTCACTCACTCACTCACTTGTTCTAGAGTTGGATTGCGGTGCAGCTCTCAGACCTCTCTTTCCACATAGCCACCTCTTCCAGAACTTCAGGAAGGATTCCAAGACGTTCCCAGGCCAGACAGGAGATCTAAAGGCTCATTATGTTCCATCTGAAGCCAAACAGTCAACTGTGCAAAAGTCTCTTTTGTTCCATCATAAGTTTTTGGCCATTTGACTATCTTTATAAAKTTTTAGAAGTGAATGGTTGAAGCAAAAGGCAACATCTGAGTGCTTTCAGCATGAACACATACGCCCACAAACGTTTGACCAATCACACAGTACATTCTTATGCAGAGGGAGTGAAAAGTTCTCTCCGGGGGTTGTGACAAGAAGGGGCGGCAGATTCAAAGCTGCAAACAAGATGCTGTGATTTTTATTATGCAACTGCAACAATGAGAGACGATTCGGCAGTTTGGATGGAGTATGTGGAGGCCCATAGTCTCTCCAGCAGATCCTGAGTCCCATTTGGACATGTCTGAAGCACCTCCCTACCAGATGAACCACTTCAACTGGCTCCTCTCGATGTGGAGGAGCAGCGGCTCTAATCTGAGTCTCTCCTGGATAACTGAACTTCTCACCCTGTCACTGAGGGAGAGTCCAGCTACCCAGTGGAGAAACCTCATTTCGACCGCCTGCATCAGCGATCTTGTTCTTTTGGTCACTACCTAAAGTTTGTGGCCATAGGTGAGGAGAGAACGTAGACCGACCGGTAAACAGAGCGCTTCATCGAAACAAGACTTTTTTTGTCTTGTCATCCAGGGTGTCTCACTGCAGTATTGCATGTTTATTTTTGTTCATAAACGACTTTCTGAGAGGAATAAATAAAAAAATGTTGATCAAAAACTACACCATTAATTCTCACTTGTCTTTGTTTATGTGGGGCATGAATCCCTACCCTAAATAAAAAATTAGTTTTGCTGTTAAGTGATTAGTTCTGTGGTCAGGGTTAGGCTACAGAAATGACTGGAAATCAATATTCAGTTTTAATAATGATAGAAATACAACCCTGTGTGTGTAGTTGAAGTGAASTGGTTCTTTTAAAACTTTTGAGTATCTAGGAAGTATTTTTTTTATCATCTTACCAACTCTAACTAGTTGTTTGATTTCCAGTTCATTAAAGTCTGATGTACAGTGGGGAAAATAAGTATTTAATCAGTCACCAATTGTGCAAGTTCTCCCACTTAAAAAGATGAGAGAGGCCTGTAATTGACATCATAGGTAG